GGAATAAAAGAAGGTATTCAATACACACATTTACTCAAAAAATGAAAATTTTCATATTCATGGTTCTTCCATAAGGGGGACGAGTGGACTGCAGATTGTATGCATTTGTAGCATTCACAGTTGTCTAAAACTGATTATTTAAAAATGTTTCATAAACCTTGGTGAGACTTCTATATTACTTGTAGCTTGATAGAACCTTCAATAGAGTAAATAAAATTCTATTAGATTCCGGTTTCAATAAATTAACGTACAAAAATCAATACTTGCATAAATATTCCTAGTCTTAATTACATACAATAAAAGCAAGCGGAATCTACATAGTAGCCAAATATCTTCATTCTTCATTACTAACTGTGGACGTTCATGCATTTATAATGTTTGTTTAACATGGAAAATACAATGACATAATGGTTTTAACACTAGGACTACGGACGATAGACATATTTCTATTTCTATCGGTAGATAAATATGAAAAACTTTAAAATTTACACATTTATGAATTGATTGAACTCTTCACTTCCATGTCGTAACGTACAATAAAATGTAAACCTTGGACTTTGAGTCGTTAATAACTGGAGTGCGGATTTTATGCATTTATCGTAAATGTAGATATGCAAAACACAACGTAGTAAAAATTTTCGGAAAGGTGGGTAGAAATTTTAGTTTACTTTGGACCTAACAAGAAATGAGAAAAATCTCTGATACAATTTCAACTCAGTAAGTGAGACCATAAAAATCTGTATTTTCATAAAAATCTGCAGTCTAGAAATAACCCACACAAGTGGTTGATGCGACGTTAAATAATCGATGAAAAAAAAAGTTGTGAAAGATCTGAGAAAATATATTGTTATAAAATTCGAATCATCGTTATAAGAACTTACTGACCAGTCATTTTTATTTGTTCGGTAGTTCTAGTGTTAATGCAGTTTCATACTGTTTATATATTATTATCAACAGAATAAAATCTCTAAAACAGAATTCCAAATTCAGCTCCATTTGAATTATCATGTATTAATATCCGAAATCATGAATTCCCATGAACTTCCGGATTTATTACACATACACAGAAGAAAAATTCATAAAAATCACTCCATCCTACGATTTGAATTTCTTGGAAAAACGATTCGTCAGCCAACTAAATTGAAAATACATACAATTTGCGCCGTTGGACAGCCAAACTGGAATTGCCGGAGCATAGATAGACAAATAGATGGATGAATTTGTTGGCTAGGCCCCAATGACTCCGGTTTTCCTTTCTTTTCGGACATCCCGCGAAGCACTGCGACAAGCAGCATGCTCTCTGTACTAAGAGAAATATTTCTCCACCATCCGGATAATAAAGAAGCCAGAATTTCCCGATCCCGTGGAACAATGTGGCAAAAAGAGGGAGGAAAGCCTATAATGACTCTAATGCACAGGAATAAAAAATAGAGAGAGAGAGAGAGAGAGAGAGAGAGAGAGAGAGAGAGAGAGAGAGAGAGAGAGAGAACGAGAGAGAGAGAGAGAGGAACGTGTATCCCAGCACTGATTGCTTTATTAAATTACTCCGACATAAAATCGCTGCCACCTGTCCCTTCCCAGACGATCGTTCGAGTTAAAAATCCGATTTTGGCTCTTTCGATTGTTGATCCGTACAGCGGTTTTGATGAGCTCCTCTTCGCAATATTGAAAAAAGCAATATTTGTCTAGCGTTTCCCAGGCTTCATTTCCTAGGCGAAGAAATATCACGGTTTGTTCAAGCCCGAATGATAGAAAAATACAGGTGTGTGTGTGTGTGTTCACGGTATCGCGCAAACGAACAAGAAAAACCCCATCGTAAACTATTATACGTATAATGAGCGTGCACTTAATACGGGGAACAAGAGAAATTCCCCGTCGTATCTGTGACGGTTTCCCGCGTTTATTGCGCGGTGACTTTTAATTTTATCGGTTTATCCGTAATTTCAGGCGGTCGGCGGACGGATTTCATATGAATCGTGGCATTATGTTTGCGAATGCACATCGTGAAATTGTTGTTTACGATTGATCGTTTATGAATATTTTCAGGTTTACGGGGAGTTATTGATCGTCTCGAGATGAATATTAATCAAATCGCATGGAACTCGAAGATTTACGAGTGGCAATGAGCCACATATTGTATACATTTTTCTTACAAGTAGTATCAAGCAATTTTTTTTTTCGTTACTGTTGGATTCGTTAGGGTGAAAACATCCTTTAAATGTTAATGTGTGCTTTATTTCCCTGTATATCATCAAAACTGTAGCAGATATAAGAAAGTTGTTGTATAGAAAATGTAATGGCATTTTATGCTCTATAAAACTGTACAATTAAATTGTTGAAAATTGGTTTATTTATTTCATCAAACAGCAAGTTTTTAACAATTTCATAGCATGACTTTATAGAGCATAAAATGGTTTTAAAGTTTCATTGCAACAATTTTTGAATACCTATTATAGTTTTCAAGATGTACAGAAAAATAGGAAAACATATACTAACATTTACGGAGTGTTTTCACCCATAAGAACAAAAAAGTCGCAAAAATAAGGTGTTGTCTGATACTTCTATTGAAGTTCCTTACAAACCTACAAAGTTTAAAAAAATGCGAATTTTCGGAATACCGAAATTCCTTTGTTAGTGTCACCTGTTTTTCAATTTATATCAAGTAATTGTGGTAAACAAGCATTACTAAATATTACTAATTGTTGTATGCTTATAAACATTAACACGGGCAGAAGTTATTAAGTTGATGTGAAATACTTGTTATTGCTGTCTCTGATGTTATTGGAATTTACATAGAACTTTTTCAATTATTTTGATTGCGTGATGAACATTAGGGTTTTTATAATTGATATGAATTGTTGTCATTAGTATTTTGATCAATTTATTAAAAGTATACGAAATTATAATTCTACATCGCCTATTGATTATACACACAAATATATATATATATATATTATTTCAAAAATTACAAAAAATATTATCATTTCTAATTCTGATGACAAAAGTACTTTACAATCAATCAAATTTCGTTTTTCACGGTTAAGCATTGGAACGAAACATTGAGAGTTTTAATATTGGTGTTGGATGATTCACTTTAGCTAGTTTTGAATGGAGAAAATTAGAGGTTCGAGTACAAAGTTCAAATAATTCTGGAAATAACAACAGGTAATAGGCAAAACTAGGTTCCCATTGATTCAAACGCTCTCGGAAATACACAAACAGGAAGGGACTTTAATGACCAGGAATGGAAACTTGTTACCGAGATTCCTTTGTGCATGGCCCGTGACGATTCCATGTCGTCGCGATTCAAATTACGTTCATACTCGAATGGAAAGATGAAGTGTCCGATTACCATATTAACCTGCTGCGACTCCGTGGAGTAACATTCATTACAAATCTCGCTAATTGCAGTTATATTTCATTCGTGCTACAATATATATATATATATGTGTGTGTGTAATTTGTACGATTTAAAAGCTGACCGATTCTATTGCTACGCATTTATGTGCCGTGAGAAATTGAGGAATGGTTTATATCGTTATAATTTAAAACGCGAATACAAATTTTTTGAATTGATACCATCGTTGTTGTTGAATTATGAGAATTAATGTAACGCATCGTGCGTTTTATGGTACTCGTAATTCGGCAAATTTGTAAATGTAAATATATTTTCTGGAAAAAGTGAATATAAATCTGGAATTCATGCGATATGGAAAAATAATTTCCGTGTGCCCGTGAATCAATTAAAAATTATACGAAATGCAATTTATGATTTAATAATACTATTCTCAAAATCAAAATGCTTTTTCTATTATGTATATCGGTGCTTGAAACCATATTATGAGTTTAATCTAATCATAGTATCAATCAAGACTCGGGTGAGAGTTTTATTACAATCAATGCGTACAAACTTTGATCAAACTGACCATTCTATTCTGACAAAATTAGTAGTTTCTGCGGTTCGATTTCTTAAGTTTACCTACTCTTAGCCAATAAAATATTTTTAACAATTTAAATATTTTTCGAAATGGTGATCAGTGTTGGTAATATAAACAATATATTCGTGAATTATATTATTCGTTATTTATATTTCGTGAAATATATGTACAAGACTGTGAATGTTATTAGTCCAGAAATTAAAGGTTTTTTTGATAAAATTTAGTGGACATATTATTATGTTTTGATGACTTGAAAGTTTAAAAAAGAAATGAAATTCATGCATTGTTCAATAAACTACTGCACTACTATTCTTCGAATTAAATTGGACCTAATAAATGTGTCCATATTGTCATTTTAATAAGAAAATCATTTCTATGACAATAATATTATTTTTCTTTATCTGAACACTTTTTTTTATGCAAAAATCATTGTATTAGATTTAGCGGAAACACGACACCTTTATCACATTTGGCACAATTTGTCCCTACAGCAACTTCCGACGATTGCCGAACACGCGATGATGCTTTCTCATACTTGGGGAGCGTCTCTACCTGCAGAAGATACCTGAACTTACTACTACACAGGGTATCCCAACAGGAATCTGTTTCATAATCAACTAATCAACAATTTCATGACTTTTACAATGCAAAATGACTAGAAAGATTCACCGAATTTCGAAATTTGAGATTTAAACCTCCGCTATTTTGTTTATGTTCAGTGATCAAAATAATTTTGGTTCCTGCGATAACGACGCTCATACTGATCAAAAATCAGTTTGACTTTTTTTGATTCTGATGCTTCGTTCTCCCGGAATCACCTACGCCAGCATTACACAATTTTTTCTCGGGCGCTCAGTTCAGTGCGATATACAAATAAAAAAACTATTAAAGGTTTAAAAAAAATGTTTACACTCTCCGTAAGTGTATTACTAAATAGACAATACTTCATTTCTGTCAAACATTTCGTTAACTGAAGAAAATTCCCCAAAAATGCCAATTTTTCAGGGCCTCACAGTGGCAAGACCCCTTAAGAGAAGTACGTGAAAACTGCATTATCCTTACCGAGAATGTCCAAACATCCGAGCTGGGAGATCATCGGGCTGGTGTTAATCTGGCACATGTAACAATCCCTATCCGATTCCTTTAACTGACGAATGTGGAGCCGCCACGTGCCGTTGGCGACTTCCTCCGTGGCTTGGCTACTTCCTGTCACCCCAAAGGCGTTACCGGACACGGCGCCGGACCCGGAACTTCCGCCGGTCTCGTACGAGACCGCGATACGTGCATTATGCGTCACCGTCCTCGTGTTGACCGAGAGAATGGTCTGGTCCGAGGCACGTAGCCAGCCAACCTGGAAACATCCATTGTCATTTCCGTGGCCTTGCTTGTTGCCAACGAGGGGGACCCTCGTTACCGCAAACAGAAATTTCCATGTAGCCGCTCTCAGATAACCTTAATGATTCCCCAGCGTATCCGTGGGCCGCTTTAATTGGGGGAGAAGCTTTTCTTCGCGTTTGATATACTTCCTGGGGGAATTGTTCGTTCTGCCCGAAAATTTAAACGCGATCTTGACTCGGAATGCTTTGCTTTGCTTGCTGCAATAGGAGATTTTAGTATACCAGCGATCGACCTTTGAATGTATTGTATTTTACGTATCGCGAGAAGGCAAACAGATCGTTGGATCATAGGTTCCGAAATATTTCCCTTTTTCTTGTAACTGCGGATGACTCAACCGTTAGACCGAGGGCAAACAATTAGTACTTGATTAGAAATGTTACGAAAAATGAAGGTACAAGATAATACCGGTAACTCGAAGATTTTAATTTTTTTAAAACTTTGCTGGTTTGTAAGGGTCCTTCAAATTTTCCTTTTTCACTTAGTTTAGTTCTTCAGAGTGAAAACATTCCTTAAAAGTTAATGTGTCTTTTCCTGTTCTAAATATACAAAATTGTTTACAACAAAAATGTAGTGGCTCCTTTTGCTCTATAGAATGGTGTGATAAAATTAAACAAATAAACCAATTTGTAACCATACCATTGCGTAGTTTTATAGAGCATAAAAAGCCATTACATTTTCGTTGGTACGATTTTTTTTACATCTATTATAACTTTCAAGATAGGAAAATAGGCGAAGACTCCTTGACTAACCTTTAACACGTTGACTGCCATAGTGAAAAAGGCCGTACGTTAGCGGACACGTTTTTTTTCGGTTTTTAAGACATAAATCGTCGAAAATAGATACGTTTAGTCAATACAGGCTGTCAGTCTTTATTTAAATTATACTGCGAGATTAAGTTAACGCAAAATTTTGTAACGGTCAAGGAAAGTGTCAAGGAAAGTTTTCACTAGAAAGAATCAAAAAGTAGGAAAAAAATTGACTGATATGTACTTCTGTGGAGGTCTCTTATAAACCGAAGTTTTCTTGTTAGGCAAAATTTATGAAATCTGATATGGTCTTGGTCGGAAATACGTGACAAATCTTGTTTAAGACAGTTTTTATTTGTCTGGAAGTACGATTTCTATTGTGTGAAGATTTTTATTGTAATTCTTTGTATTTAAAGGAAAGAACCCCGAGCAAAAAGTTTCCGATCACACGCATTAATACGAAATTCCCGGAGAATATTCTTATTTTAGAACTATAAAATACTATCACATAAAGATTGAAGTAATGGGAAATTGAAGGGAGGTCAATAAGAAGTAAATAACAATTATATAACACAAACTTCCATTTATTATGAAAAAGAAACACGATAAGAAATGGAATGTTACATGGAAAAAAGTTTCCGGTCATAGCTAGAATACGTACGTTCTTAAATATGTGAAGCATAGTTCACAAGTATAAATACAAGAGGAGACTACAGAAATGCAAATAAAAGTTCGCCTCTACTGAGTCAGTTAGTTACTCGTACAAATTTATTCAGTAGACAAGCAAGTGAAAAGTTTAATATGCCACCACACAAAGTGTATTCCAATGATATAAAGGTAAGAACAATCGAGCTTTTGAAGGATGGAAATAGCCGACGAAAAGTTTCACAAATCATAGAATGCAGTCAAAGTACAGCCAGTAATTTAAAAAGAAAATATAACGAAACAGGAAGTGTATCTAATCGCAACAGACGTGACCGCCCTCGTGCAACAACTACGCGAGATGATAGATAATTACGTCATATTGTAAAAAATACGGGACGATTACGTTCGAGAGAAATAAATCAGCAGTGGGCTCGAAAGGTTTCCTGACCGTACGGTCAGGATTGTCAGGAATCGTTTAAATGACATGGGTTGCTCACATCGAAAAGCGAAGAAGAAACCATATCTTACGAACAAACATAAAAGGGAACGCTTCCAATCATGTAAGGAGTGTGCAAATTGGACAGTGGAGGATTGGCATAAAGTAATATTTATGCAGCGTTTCATGATAAGTTTCATAAAGATTGTTTAAAGTTCAAACAAACATATCCACAATCATATACGATTTGGAGTTGTATTAATGAGAAAGGAGTAGGCAAATTATATGTATATACTGTACCAAAATATGAATTCGGATAAGTATATTCACGTTTTAGAAAATTTCCTAATTCCTAGTATTGAAAACTGGTTTCAAGATTCGTCCAATTTTCTTTTTCAACACGATAATGTTGGCTGTTATCGCAGCAAAGTTGTTGAAGATTATTTACATAATAATCACGGTAAAACTATGAAATGGCCGGCAAATAATCTAGATCTCAATCCCATCGGAAATTTGTGGGCAAAATTAAAAAAACTAGTACACGAAAAAGAAGAACTTCGCCAAGCTATAACATTATCCTGGGAAGAAATTTCAATGAAAACATAATTAATTCAATGCCGCAACGAATTAAGGCAGTAACACGTTCACATGGAAACATAACAAAATGCTAGTACCAAAAATTGTTTGATTTAACAAATAAGATCGTCAACTTTTTTCTATGAATTCTTTTAATTGGAAACTTTTTTCCATGTATCATTTTATTTCTTATCGTGTTTCTTTTTCATAATGAATGGAAGTTTGTGTTACCTTACTGTTGTGTAAATCGTATTAACCTACTTTCAATTTTCGATCACTTACCTACATATATCTTTATATGATAGTATCTTATAGTTCTAAAATATGAAAATTCTCAGTGAATTTCCGTATTAATACGTGTGATCGGAAACTTTTTGCCAGGGGTTGTATTATATGGACATTGCTATTAAACGTTTACATAAATACACTCTTTTTATGAAAACTTTCCGAAATCAAAGTAAAACAGGAATTTTTTCTATAATGTTCATGAGTTTTTGTCATGAATTATTCGAAACAGTCGCCTCCTGAAAAAGTATATTCTATGTAACGATTATACAAATTCTGGAAACATCTCTGACGATGATGTTTTCAAGATGACGGAAAGACTGACAGTCCAGAACTTCGCTTAGTTACTTGTCGTATTTGCCCAGGTTGGCTTCCTGCGGCTATTTTCTCATGATAAAATTGAAAATGAAGGAGCGACGTTAAAGAAAAGTTTCAAAGCTGATGTCAGCCATTGTATACTTATCATGAATAGAGTACATACTCCACGGATAAAAACTGTTTTAAATATAACAACTGATAATAAAGGGCATTAGTATCATACGAAATATTCCTGCTTTACTTTCAGATGGAAAACTTTCGATCGAAATTGTGTATATTGAAATGATCGTAAGTCAGAAACAAAGTAGTTTGAATCCAATGCTGATAGGTCTCTTTTTCATCTTTGCCACAAGCAGTTTATATAAAGATTTCTAAAACGTTGTATGCAACTTGAACGATTGCTTTCATAATATGACTGTAATGTTACACTAGATACTATTATTTCGTAACATTTGCAACTTTAATGTAGACACTGGAACAGGGACACCCAAATTGCAACGATATACGAGAACGATATTTCCACTGGAGTCAACGTATCTCGCCGTTAACGTAATATATCATAGTGCTTCCAAGGATCTTGGTGCAGTCGTATGGCGGAAAGCAATGAAATTAGTTACAGAGTAAACTAAACTAGACTGTGCACCGAGAATGACGTTTGTTCCATAGTACAGGTATAGTGCTTCGTAGCAGCGGCTATTATTTTATAACAGAACTCCAATTTAGCTATTCAATCTCCCGTAATAATGTACGCGTTTATTTCTTGTTCGTTTCATTTCAATAGCGTACCTTTTTAATCTTTTCGACACCCTACAATAGACGAAAGTTCAGACATTTGGTCGGCAGCCGGTCCCGGTCGCGTTGTACCACCGAGGCAAAGAACAATATCGCCATAATCTTCTACCGTTGGGTGACTCCCGCAACATCGGCGCGATCAAGCCAAACTTGGCCACGTGATTTTAATTATTTGCAGGCGTACGTTTTGTTCCTAAAGGAACCTTTTCCTCCACAAGTGTTTCGAAACGGGCGGATTGCCGCAAATTTCGATTGAAAATCGCTGGGATCGCTCAGCGCTGAGCGTGGAGGTGGAAGGAGGACTCTTGCTCGAGTCCAGAAAAACACACGCGAAACTATGAGAATTGACCGAACACTTGGACAACGTTTATTGGACGATATACAATAATTAAGACGGAACGAGAATGCGATGCGCGTTCGATATAATTTGTTGTAATGGCGCGAGGCACTTGCGGTTTTTCGCGTGAGAACCGTACCGGTATTCTTCCAGTTCTGCTGGGCTATCGGCGCAGGACAATACGCGAGCACCGAGAGTCCTTTTTGCACACCTCGGTGATTAGCGGTTAGACATCGCGCGATACAGGTGCGTGTTATGATTGGTTTCGCCGAATTCGCGTGATATTTCGTGGAACGAGCAGTGCGACGGAATCTCGCGAGACCTCGTCCACACTCGGGAAACCTCGGCCGCGCGACGGTGCGCGAGCGCGTTGATTGAATTCCAAACATCCCGCCCGCCTTGAAACGCCAGTTTCAAAACTA